TGAAAATTACCAAAACCAGAGAAGTACCCAAGTCGTCAAAGATACAAAATTATGAGAAACCAAACAAGGCCGCTGCTCTGAATTCAGATTACTCAGAGAGTCAGAATGTTGCCAAGAAAAGCACACCATACAGAGTACTGGGTGAACAAGAAGCCATAGTTGTGAATGATAAATATGATGCGGAAAAGGATTTGCCATCTAATCTGGAGGGTGAAAAGGAGCAGCTGGATATGTGCAGTCCAACTCACTCAAGGGAATCAATGGAAACAGTAGGACCATTGGAGAAGGTAAATTGTTTTTAGTTTTGTTTTTGTATATGATATGGATTATTTTAAAGTAGAAGTGTAATTAAGACTTGAATTGGATGTTATTTGAAGGATTTTTTAGCATGTGAATTTGTGAAAATATTACAGTATTAACATTTGATTTAATTTATTAACAAGTTTATTATATGCAATGAATAATACTGTTTACTCATAGTTTGTTTAATATTGATTATTAACAGGTAAAACTGTGGCAGGCATCCCTCATAGACTCAATTCCTGTGCCAGGGGAGTACCAGTCTCCACCAAGCACTAGTGCACCTCCATCCATCCTTTCAGTCAACACCAGTGAACCTTTTGATGCAGAAGAAGATTTAAATGCTCATCTCTCTAACCTGAACCTATGTGTTGTCCAGCATGACAGTAGTGGTTTGGCAAACCATAGTCCAGAAGCTGGTGGATTTGTTAATCCCCCTGACAACCAGTGCATTGCTGACATGGGTCAAGGTGTGGATGCTGACAGTAGTTTGCCCATAAATTCCCCAGAACGACCAGAGACAGAGGGTGACTTGCCCAAGAGTCCTTGGAGAAGTAGCAGTGCAACTCCACGCTTGCATTTGCATCAGACTGTAAAGGCCAGGGATCTTGATAGCGGATGCCCAGGCTCAGAGAGGAGTACAAGGATGAGTCACAATGCCAGCTTTGAACATCCCGATCAGGGTTCAAATTTCCATCCAAGTTTGGAAGCTGCTAGAGATTGCATCAATGAACCAGAGGAGAGAGAAAAGTCACAAGTTGCAGATAACCAGTGCTTTAGTGGTTTTGAGAAGAGAAGTATGGGAGTGGAAAGTATTCCCCAAGAAAAAGGCTATCTGGACAGAAGTCTAAAACACCCCACAGAGGGACTGCCTTTAGATGAAAGACTACAGAGAAGGGATGTTAGCATGGAGAGTCGTGTGCATTCAGGATGCAGTAGGAGCAGTAGGAATAGCTCAAAGAACAAGAAGGACACTCAATACAGCGTGCTAGGATTGCAGGATACTCAAGAACAGGACTTTAAAGAAAACTCAAAAAAGAGCAGTGCACAGAGACTGTTGGAAGACAAGGATATTGCAGAAGCAAGTGGAGAAGAGTCAAGTGACTATAACAGGAGCCGTAAAAGGGATCCCAAGAGAAACACAAGGACACGGAAAAGGAGCAAGTCAAGAAGGTCTTCGGAGAGGAACAAGCCTGGTTACATAAAGAGTACACATGGAGCCTGTAATGAAGCAAGGTCCAGTACACCGGGGAGTCAAATGCAAGAGGTTGCTAATAAGCTTCACACGTCTCTTGATAAGATTGATACCATAAACCAAAACCTCAGGAAGTACAGGTCAAAGTACATCAGTGGTTATGCATCTGACCTGTCTGAGGCATCCACAAGTATGCATAGCTCACATTCTGATATATATAGTAATATTTCAAAATTGAAGAGGGATTTCCAGATTCTGCAGTCGCAGATGTTAAACCTGAAGAGTGAAGTCTTCCATGAAAAGAAGGGTGTGATTGGGGAGTCATCCAGATCTCATAATGCCCAAAGAGGAAGGAAAAGTGAGCCAATGAGGGCATTAGATTTCTCAAGACACTTAGATGAAGACATTCATCTTGGAGTCGATTCATCCATGGATGTGTCACATTCTGAACTTGTAAACAGAAGACAACTTCAGATGGATGATAGGGTGAGTCGGAAAAATCATTCCTCCTCCAAGTTGTATGAAAACAACCCCAGGCATTTGTACAATTTTTCCTCAGACTCCTCTGTATCAACATTTGATGACTCGAGAATGGATCAGCTGCCCAAGAGCACTCCAAAAGACAGGCTGAAGGGGGCCTCAAGTGAGGGAAGGGCAAGGAGAGATCCAAATAGCAAAAAGGGTAATAGAAATTTCAAAGTAGAAAAACATGAATCCTTTAATGACTCAAGTGCCAGGAGACAGTTGGATCTCAGTGAAATGGAAGTGATTGACATCAACAGCCCCAGAAAAGATAATCGACCAATGAGCACACAGACTCAAAGTCCAGGTCAGAATATAGGGGTGCAAACAGAGGACAGGGTAGTGCCATCAATCCAGTGCACGCCATCTCCATTGCCCTTGAATCCACCTGGAGACTTCAATACGAGCCAGACACAACTCTCTGAAATTGTGAGTGAAGCAGCTGGGATAATGAATTTGGAGTCCGATGCAGTGTCTGCGAGG